CACACACACACACACACACACACACACACCACACCCCCCTACCCCTACCCTGGTCAGGACATCGTTAAGATGTAATAGGAAAGAGTAATAGGACAAAGGATACACACCCATGCTTTGTTTGGAATCAGATCTGAACCACCCCAGACTTTCTCCTCGTGATCAGATGCTATCACATACTAGTAAGCTATAGCGGAATTTCCTCCTGCATATTATAAATAAATTACATGGAAGTTGTTACCATAGTATAGACAATATATTAAGGTTGTCAAACTTTCGGAGCTATACCCTTTCTTTTATCAGGACAAATTTTATACAGAAAAAATATGGAACAGTTGCATTATATTAGAACAAAATTTTAAATAGCTAAAACATTAATGTCCAAGCAAGAGGCAAAATGGTCCTACATCACATAATTACCTAGTATTAATCACACACAGTTTGTAACCTTCAAAGTGGACCAAGGTCAAATACATTTAAATGGACTAAATGTAATGTCAGGATAACTATCCTTACCACTGACTCTTGGTCATCTAACAGAGCCTGTTAAACGACTTAACACACTAGACCCCTGTACACACAAGACACCTAGCCTGTACACACTAGACCCATGTACACACTAGTACTAGACTCCTAGCCTATTTACACTAGACCCCTGTACACACAAGACACCTAGCCTGTACACACTAGACCCCTGTATACACAAGACCCCTAGCCTGTACACACTAGACCCCTGTACGCACTAGACCCCTAGCATATACACACAAGGCCCCTGTACCCACTAGTACTAGGCCCATGTACACACAAGACCCCTGTACACAAGACCCCTAGCCTGTACACACTAGTCCCCTGTACACACTAGACCCCTAGGCATGTACACACTAGATCTCTGTACACACTAGACCCCTGTACACACTAGACACCTGTACACACTAGACCCCTGTGCACACTAGACCCCTGTACACACTAGACCCCTAGCATATACAGACAAGACCCCTGTACACACTAGTACTAGGCCCATGTACACACAAGACCCTTGTACACAAGACCCCTAGCCTGTACACACTAGACCCCTGTACACACTAGACCCCTGTACACACTAGACCCCTGTGCACACTAGACCCCTGTACACACTAGACCCCTGTATAAACTAGACCCCTGTACATGCTAGACCCCTGTACACAATAGACCACTAGCCTGTACAAACTAGACCCCTGTACACACAAGACCCCTAGCCTGTACAAACTAGATCCTTGTACACACTAGATCCCTAGCCTGTACACACAAGACCCCTAGCCTGTACACACAAGACCCCTAGCCTGTACACACTAGACCCATGTACATACAAGACTTTTAGCCTGAACACACTAGACCCCTGTACACACTAGACCTGTAGCCTGTACACACTAGACCCCTGTACACCCTAGACCCCTGTACACCCTAGACCCCTAGCCTATACACACTAGACCCATGTACACACTAGACCCCTGTACACACTGACCCCTAGCGTATACACACTAGACCCCTGTTTACACTAGACCCCTGTACACATTAAGCCCCTGTACACACTAGACCCTTGTACACACAGGATCCCTAGCCTGTACACCCTAGACCCCTGTACACCCTAGACCCCTAGCCTATACACACTAGACCCCTGTACACACTAGACCCCTAGCCTATACACACTAGACCACTGTACACACTAGACCCCTAGGCATGTACACACTAGATCCCTGTACACACTAGACCCTTGTACACACAGGACCCCTAGCCTGTACACCCTAGCCCCCTGTACACCCTAGACCCCTGTACCCCATAGTCCCCTAGCCTATACACACTAGACCCATGTACACGCTAGACCCCTGTACACACTGACCCCTAGCGAATAAACACTAGACCCCTGTTTACACTAGACCCCTGTACACAAAAGACCCCTAGCCTGTACACCCTAGACCCCTGTACACCCTGACCCCTAGCGTATACACCCTAGACCCCTGCACACACTAGACCCCTGTATAACCAAGACCCCTAGCCTGTACATACTAGACCCCTGTACACACTAAGACCCTGTACACACTAGACCCCTAGGCATGTACACACTAGATCCCTGTACACACTAGACCCCTATTCACACTAGACCCCTGTATACACAAGACCCCTAGCCTGTACACACTAGCCCCTGTACACACTAGACTCCTGTACACACTAGACCTCTGTGACCTTAAAGGCAAACAAGGTCATTCAGCTGAACAAACTTGGTAAGCCCTTTATCCCAGCATTCTACTGGCCAAATATGATCACTCTGGACATTTGGCTATTGAGAAGTTGTAATTTAAAGATTTATCCATATTTGACTCCTGTGGCCTTGAAAGTGGGTCAAGGTCATTCATTGGACAGACTTTGTAGCCTTTCATCCAAGAATGCTACTGGCCAAATACCTGGGTAGCCATTCGTTCATGCATATATAAGTGTCCAAATATAATGTGGGTGGTCAAGTGGCACATGCACAGCATGTAAGGATAGCACACTTGCCTTTTCCCAGGATGACATAACTGAGTTTGATTCCCTAATCAAGACCACATTGGTTTACCCGGAGTATAATATCTTAAATATCATCACCCTGTGACTTTTGGTTATTCAGAAGAAACCGTTTAATTCTTTTTAACAAATATTTGACTCCCTTTGAAAATGGGAGAAATTCATTAATTCAGAGGGTCCGAGTACCAGGTAAGTGATATATCGGGCCCATTCACAGGGCCTCTTGTTCGACTCCTGTGGCCTTGAAAGTGGTCAAGCTCATTCATTGGACAGACTAAATTGTAGTCTTTCATCCAAGAATTTGTGTGTTATTTCATTTTTTTTGTTTTCACATAATGTAACTGTCCCATATTTATTTTGTATAATTGTATCCTGATAAAGGAAAGTGTAGCTCCGAAATTTGACAACTTTATAGTGTCTAACTATTGTAACAACTTCCATGCCGTTCAGCCTCAGATTCCCAGGCCACTCAGGTTCGAACCCCACGGTCTCAGTCTGGCCATCGCATTTCTCTTTCTCGATCCTGTTACACATTTATAACAAGTTTGTTACAGACAGATATATCATAATTATTTCAAGTTTGTGACTGCATAGTGTCATCACATTTTACTTATTTCGCTTATTTAAATTAATTAGTTTAAGGGGATGGTCACATAATGGAGAGTTTCCCATTAGCAAAACCAATGAAAATTGTGTTTTAATGTTTTATAATTAGGCAAGATTTACAGACAGGGAGGGAGCATGTCATTCATTTAGAACTATGTGAAACCGACTGATATCCATTATGTCACAATAATTCTCCTTGCTTCAGATGATAGCATGTTAGACGTAGAACCAAATTTTGCTGAGTAAGTCGCAGTATAGCACTGCAGCTGTGTATATTAGCAACCAAGAATGCTGACCACGATATCGAGACGACCGCACATGTCACAAGATGCATCCCATCTCAACCTTACACAAATAGATAGGTCAGAGTAACTAGAAAACCTGTATTAACGCTAGTTACCATGTCTTCATATTTCGCCTTCAGTCATCCTCATCTTCCGGGACTCGCATCCGCAACATTTGACGTTTATTACTATTATTTACCAGAAACCAGTCCATTATCTGGAAGGTAATAAAAACAATATTTTGGATTGTCATATTTTATAATATGTCAATCCATACATTTAACTCATCATTTCATAGGGTCGTTTTATTTAGATATTCGATTTGGTATCAACATTTAATGTTTTCCGATCACATTAAATAACATCAGATCGAAAACATATCAAAATATTTTTCGCACACCCACATTTGGACGATTACAAGATCCTGTTTCCCCCACAATGCCCTTTTCAAAATGGTGCAAGGCAAGGTGAAAAAAAAGACTTCGCTTCCGAGTGGAGCGAAGGGTAAAGGCGGACGTCAACACAGGAAAACGAGCATTAAACGGGGAGGTATGTTAGAAAACACATGTTAGCTTCAACTTTTAAGTTAAGTTATTTTCTTGAAGCTTCTTTTTCATCCATAAAACGGTTTCAGCATCCGTCGCAATAGGTAAACAAAATAGAGTTGCTTCCCTTTGGTCAACATTTTTATGGCCATGTGCTTTTAAAATTAGTTTAGGCACATGTCAGCACCTGTGGCTGCGTGTCAATAGATCTACACCTTAACGAACCTTATTTCTCGTATAATTCGACAAAAAAACTAGTGCCTGTGGTTTATGCATTTTTTCCAGTTTTATAACGTCATCACAATTTTATAAACCGATAAATAGGCCTGTTATATTTTTAGTAGTAGGGTAGGGAAGTTTGTCATACTTGTGATCTACCTAAATAATCTTCAGATCATTGAAGGACTACTGATAACCTAAAGGAGAAGAACCTCTTTGTTTATAAAATTGTGATGACGTAATGAAACTGTGAATCTACATGCCTGAAAAAACTTCATGAAAATTGCACGGTTTATAAAAAGACGGTCAAATATTTTACAGTCAAATCCCCCAATGTCATAATAATTTCCCTGTTAACCAAGCTTAAGATGAATCACAGTATTTAGTGAAATGATATGTGTGTAACGTCAGGAGAAAGAGAAATGCACCGAAACCTGGGACTTCCGAACTCTAGAGGAATGCTCTAACCAATTTAGCTACCTGGTCGCCGGCGATCAACCCTATACCACCTTATGTGGGTCTACATTTCGTTGGGCACCAAATTTATAACAGGAGAAAGATAAATTAATGCAACAGGAAGAAAGGTTCAAACCGGGGATCCTCTGAACTCTAGACGGGTGTTCTTAACAATAGAGCTACCTGGTCGCTGGCGAACGACTTCCGTTACATGTGAAACAGCCAAGAAATATTGGGAAACGAAGTATAGCTGCCTCGTTAGCAGGAAATGGCAACAAGCTTTTCAATTAACACTGTAAAACTGCACACTTTCTCGATAGAGTTGAGCAAAATCTAACAAAGTATATATGTGGCAGCCTGGATGCATGGGTGCTTGCACTCAGCCTCATAGGTGATCTCAGCATGCTGACCCTGGGGTACCTCATCGTAAAACCGTTTCCCTGTGTTAGATGGAGAAGGTTGCAATGAGTGTTCTGGTCATGATCAATGTCTTGATGGATATGTCCTCTCACAAATAACACATGAACATGACTTGTGCTTTTGTCCTAGGACTTTCGCCCTGCAAGGTGACTGACTGCAGGTCTAGGTAGCGCAATTGGTTGTCCATCTGAGTTTGGAGGTATAGATATAGGTTGGACTCCAGGTCTGACTGACCTCATCATTTTCCCTCCCCTATGAATGATATAATCTTTCCCAATCTTGGGGTACAACAGACAAATCTCAACCAGAGGGGTAAGATTCTTAAAGGTCTAGTCTGAGGCTTTGCTCTGGGTTGAGATTTTTCTGTCTTACTCGAGCTCCTGAAGTTGGATCAAATGATTGTTTTTCTCCCACATCAAATGCAGTACAAGGTGTAATTTCACGAAAAACGAACAGTTATTTCATAATTTTCAGCAGATGGGAGTTATATATCCTCTTCCTTGATCTGTTATTGTTGACGCTGATGCATTGTTGATGTGACGTCATGCAATTGTTATGACAGGGGAATCCCTGGGTAAGACTTATAGAATCTTCCCCTACGTTGAGGGTGTGACAGCGAAATCTCCTGGCCGAGGGGTGATTTTTAGGTCACCTGAGCTTTGCTCAAGTGACCTATTCTAATCGCTTTTCGTCCGTCGTGCGTCGTGCGTAAACTTTTACATTTTCAACTTCTTCTCAAGAACCAGTGGATGGATTTTTTTCAAACTTGGTCAGAATCATCCTTGGTAGATGAGGCTTCAAAATTGTAAAATTGGGATTCCTACCCCAACCCCTGGGGCC